TCTGACAGGTGTGAGATGATACCTCATTGTTGTTTTGATTTGCATTTCTTGGATGATTAGTGACTTTGAGCACGTTTTCATATGTGTCTTGGCTTTCTGAATGTCCTCTTTTGAAAAGTGTCTATTTAGGTCCTTTGCTCATTTTTTTGATTGGGTTGTTTATCTTCCTTTTGTTAAGTTGTATGAGTTCCCTATAAATGTTGGGGATTACATATAATCATCCAGTTTCTAAAAATAGCTATTCCAGTAGGTGAAATGGTATCTCATTGTGGTTTTGATTAGCATTTCCCTAATAACTAATGTACTTATCCATTTATATATCTACTTTAGAGAACTGTTCATTCAGTCTTTTGCTCACTTTTGAATTGGGTTTTGTTGTTGTTGTTGAGTTGTAGGAGTTCCTGATTATATTCTTGATATTAATCTCTTATTAGATATATTAATTGCAAATATTTTCTCCCATCCTGTGCCTTATTTTTTCATAATTTTGATAGTGCCTTTGATGAGACCTGGGACTTTTGCACGTAACCCAAGCATTTCTGGGGAGTTTATCCTCCCCTAGCTGTGGATGAACAAATCAGGACTGTGTGAGAAGTAAGATGTTCTATTTTTTGAAGATGGTACATGAGGGATCACCCATCTGGGTTTGGCCCACAAGACTGGGTCCTTTCCTCCCTGTTTCCTTTAAGTGTTCAAAGACTTGGATCATACAGGAAAAAAGATAAGAGAGAGCAGGGAAAGATTTACTCTTCAATGACTGAGGAAACAAACATGAGCCCAGTCTCAGTACTCAAGAAACCAAACATGCTACAACATGGATGAAACTTAAAACCATGCTAAGTAAAGAAGCCAGTCACAAAAGACCACTTTCTGTGTAATTTCATCTATATGAAATGTCCAGAGTAGCCAAATCTATAGAGACAGAAAGAAAAGTAGTAATTTCCTGGGGTTGATAGGGCAGGGAAGGTGGGTTAGGGGGGAATAGGGAGTGACTGTTAATGGGTATGGTCCCCCCCTCCCCCGGTGATGAGAAGGTTCTAAAACTGATGGTGGCTGGTAGCACAGCTCTGCAAATATACTGAGCGCCACGGATTGTACATTTTAGGGAGTGAATTCTATGGCATGTGAATGATGGGGAGCAAAATAAGCCACCCTATAACATCCCACTTTGGCACATTGATTATTTTGAGTTAAAGATATTTAAGAAACAGCTAATAAAAAGGCCTCTCTGCCCCTCCTTTGTCCCCCTGAAAGCAGGAAATGTATAGAAGTATGTGAAGATACCCTCCCTATATCAGGAGGGTAGGAGCCATCCTTATTACCAGAGATAGGGAATTCAAGGCCAAGAAGGCTTTATAAACAAACTTTGTTACTTCTTTATTAATTTGCTACCCCAAACTCAAACTCCTTTATTTTGTCAAATCTGTACAAATAACTCTTCATTTGCTTTACAGGTATAAAAGCTGCTTGCACTGGTGACTTCTTTGAGTCTTATATTTCTATGGGCTACTGTATGTAAAAAATTAAATTTGTTTTCTCCTCTTAATTCATCTTATGTCAATTTAATTTTTAGACCAGCCAAGGAACCTAGAAGAGAAGAAGGGGGAAATTCTCTTCTCCTGCATGGATTATATGTCAATTAAGCTGTTATTAAAAAAGAGAAGGAAAGGAAAAAGGGCAGAGGCCTATGGGTGACTGCCATCCTTCCTTCTGCCTCAGCGTGCTGGTGTCTTCTTCACTTGATGGAGAAGCGTAGCTTTGCCTGGACATGCTCACAGTGGGCATGCTTCATGGTCAGCCCGTAGAGGGGGGTTAGGTCCACTTTCACTCCCGGTAACACACTGAACTCCAGCCGCTGCAGCAAAATGGCCAGAAAAAGGAAGACCTCCCACTTGGCCAGGACCTCCCCTATGCACTGGCGCTTGCCCATGCCAAAGAGCATCGCCTTCTCACTCAAGGTCTTGTTGATGGTAGTGCCATCAGCAGTGAGGAATCTCTCTGGCCGGAACTCAGATGGGTCCCCCTACAGCTTCCTGCAAGAGAACCAGAGGAGCTGGGATCTTTGGACTGGGAAGCCCGGGGAGGATAGTCCTGGGTCGAGATGTCTGAGCAGACTTCTGTTGATACCACCAGTGTTAGAATAGACAGCAATAAGAGGAGGGTGGGGGAAAGGGACCAAACTGTAACTTTAATGCATATTTCTTTTACATAGCTCTTTCTTAAATGATCAGTCTTGAAAACAGTGCTTTTAAATATTAAATTATCTTCATTCTAATTAATATAAAAGGGGAACCCATATTATATCCTGATTTGTGCTTATTGTTTTGGAGTAATTTTTTAAAACATTAATTAACTCTGGAGAGAGAGAGAGGAAGGGAGAGAGAGAAAAAAACATTGACTTTTGTTGTTCCACCCATTCATGCACCCACTGTTGATTCCTGTTTGTGCCCTGACCAGGGATCAACCCACAACCTCAGTGGATGGGATGATGCTCCAACCATCTGAGCCATCTGGCCAAGGTGGAGTAATTACTGATAGCCTCCCACACTCAGAAGTATCTCGGTTTGGATGGTAAATTATGTGGTCCCCCTACCTATAGACTAAAGTGTGATTTTCCATACAGAGGGTCCTAAGCCACTCATATCAGAATCACTTCAGTATTCCACCTTAGCTACCAAAGTGGAATCTTGGGGATGGCATGCCATAATCTGTAACTGACATCCTGATTAATTCTTTTTTTATTAATCCTCACCTGAGATTATTTTTTCCCACTGAGTTTTAGAGAGAGTGGAAGTGAGGGAGAGAAGGAGAGAGAGAGAGAGAGAGAGAAACATCGATGTGTTTCACATCGATTGGTTGCCTCCTGCATGCACCCAACCAGGAACAGGGATCAGCCCTGAAACACAGGTACATGCCCTTGACCAGGAATCAAACTAGCTGCCCTTTGGTGTGAAGGCTGGTGCCCTAACCACTGAGCACACCTAACTAGGGCCCTGTTTAATTCTTATTGCACTGAAGTTTGAAAAACATAGACCTAAACTTTGTCACCTAGAGAAAACTATACAGCAATTGAGGCACCATTCCTTTATTATATAACCATTTCCTAGAGGGACAAACAGCCTTCCTGACTGCTGAGCTGCATACACATTTTAGTGGGGGATGTGTACTCACTGATCATGATTGACATGCCATTGGTTTATGAAGACATAACGTTCCTTGGGGATGTAGAAGCCATTCAGTGTTGTGTCCCTTGTTGTGCTGAAGAAGAAAGAGGACTCTGTCAGACTCAGGTCCCGGAAAACCAGGGTACATCTCTGGGTGCCTCTTGCTCCTACCTCTACTGCACCCCAAGAGCCTGCCCACCACTGGAAAGAAATGTCAGAAGGAGGGAAGAGGGGAAATTATCCTTCTTCTTCCTTGGCTCGTTTTTCCACTTCAACAAGTGTGTACTATACTTCTGTTTGTGCCTAGTTAATGCACTTGGCCATTCTCTGGAGTACTGGGGAGTTCCCAGCCTGGCTGAGGAGTCAGGACTCTCACTCTGGGAATAAATAGATCAATATGTGGGCAGAGGAAGTGTTCACTATCTCTCTTAACATTGTTAAAATCCCAAGACACAATCAAGGACAAATGGCTGTAAGTCCTACAAGATTTCAGAAACGAAGCTGTTTCAGCTAGATGAGTCAAGAAATGTTCTGGAGGAGAGGCAGTTTTGTCAGGATTGACCTTGGGCAGGGATAGAATTCTGGTAGCCAGAGAAGAGATTACAAGGCATTTCAAGCAGAAGGCCCAGCATAAGCAAAATTGGAGGCTGGCTAAATCATGCTTATAAAGGGCCAGATTGGTTACATTGAGAGTACTTGTAGGGAGAGAACGCAGCAGAGGTGAATGAGCGCTGAGGTCAGGAGTGTGATTTTCTCCTGAGAGCTGGGTAGTTTTATTGTGTTTGAACAGAATAGGGGTAGACTAGAGGCCAAGAGCCTGTGAGGAGCCTGTGTCATGATCAGGAAGGAGAGGCTGAGGTTTGAGCCAGGGCCAGAGCTGAGAAACTAGGAAGAGAGGTGGGAGGGCAGAATAGGCAGGTCTCACCTGTGGAGGATGGTGAAGGGGATGAAGGAGGAGTGTCGGAACGTCTCCAGGATGAAGGCCTCCGTATAAGGCAGCTGGGGTCTGTCAGAGAGCCGGGGACACTGTGCCCTGCCAACCACTGTGTCTGCAAGACACAGCGGACAGACAGGGCTTAGGGGTTGCCCTGACTGCTCCATGGTGTCCCCTACTATACCAAGTGCCACTCAATGTGGTGTCACTCTATATCTATTTACATGTTGAGACCCACTAAACCTCCCTCAGCACCTCCTAGACAAGGGTGGACGACATTGTATGCACAAGGTTTGCATGTAACAGCTATATATAGATTGAACAAATGATCTGGGATCCCAAAGCTTCTCTATGCATACCCAGTTCCTCCTGGATCTTCAGCTGTATCTCAGGATTTGTCACAAGGTATATAAGGCACCAGGAGATGGCTGTTGTGACCAAGTCAAATCCTGGGCATCGAGGGGAAAGGTGAGGAAGGAACAAGAAACCAATATTTACCAAGCACCCACCATGTATGTAATAAGCATTATCTTCCTCTGGCTCCCTCTCCTGACCTCCTGCCCCCAACCTTGAGTCACCGGTTTCATAATTAGTTGCTGGAATTATAGGGACTGAGACTCATAGGCCAGAGAGCCCTTTATTGTTCAAATGGGGAAACTGAGATCCAGAGAAGGAGAAGGACTTAGCTGAGTTTCCCCTGGGAGTTGGTGGCACAGCCTGGGCTCAAACCCTGAACATGGGCCAGATCTCTATGTCCTGCACCATCTGGCATGTGGTTCAATAATTATTTGATGGACTTGGGTACTGAGAAGTGCTGTGGGTGAAGAGCAAACACTGATGGATGGAGGGTCAGGGGCCTGGCTCTTACCAGCCCCAAAATGTCGTTGATAAACTGACAATCTTCTCCTCAGGGATGAAGCCACCACTGGGTCTGGAGTCCTTGTTGCAGTGCTTGAACAGGGCACCTGTGATATCCTGAACACTGTCCTGAGGGATCACAAGTTTAGAGGCACTCCTGCACTTCCAGGGCCGAAGGCTGGACCTTGCCCCCAACCCATCTGGCACTCCCTCTCTCCCCCCAAACCTCCAGTCATTGGGTTAGGCTCACAGCAGGAGGGCTTAAGGTATCATTTCATGCCCCACTGACCATCCCAATAACCCTAGGGGTCCAGTTTCAAAGGAGGAGGTGAGTGTGAGTAAGGGAAGCAAAGTGACACCAGAGCTGAGTGTCAAGGTTCAGGTTCCTGCAGAACAAAAGCCTTCTCCCTCTGCCCTTTGAGCTGCTCTGAAAAGGAGGCTATTGTTATGAGGAACCTGAGACCAGAGTGGGAGAAGGAATAATTAACTTCAGTTCACATAACTGATCCCAGGTGTCCCAGAGCCTTCCTAGGCCTTGGCTACACATCAGCTGTGTGGGTACTTTGGAGCTGGGTGAGAGAGGGCACACCCAGGCTCTACAGGGTGCCTTCTCACCACCTGTGTGCTGGGCTCACCTTGTCGAAGTTCTGATAGTGCTTCTGGATCATTATCTGCAGGAACTGCACGATCCTCTGGTTAAGGCCTTGAACCTCTGCAGGGTGGGGTTGGGCAGGTATTTCAGGATAGGGAAGAAGTCCACTGGGTTCCCAGTGGAGGCAGACTCCACAAACTCATGGCTGTTCTTCACAAGGCTGAGCATCTCCTCATTGCTCTGGGGGAAGTGCTGCCCGAAACACATGACACCAATGACTTTGGCCACTGACACCACCACCCGATTATAGGGATCAAAGAGGCCAGCCCCTGCCATCAGCTTCTGGAACTTGCTGATGAGGGCCTCAGCCTCCTTGCTCACATGTTCCTCCAGGTAGCAGGAAAATGAGGAAGCTGGGTCTGAGGCAATGGAGAAGCTGTTGAGGGCATTCTGGGCCAGGCGCCAGCGGGCAGCCCACACCGGTCCAGAGTCCGGGTTGAAGGCCATGCTCTGGCCATCAGTGATCAGGGTGAAGCTGTAGAGGTCAGGCCGGCCCTTGAAATCGTCACCCTGCCTCACCAGAGCCTGCCGGATGGTGTCCAGGCTGCTGAGCACCAGCACAGGTGTGCAGCCAATGCAGATCTCTAGCACGTCCCCATAATGCTGGCTCAGTCGTGACAGCGCCAGGTGTGGGTTCTTCCCCAAGGTCAGCATGTGTCCAAGCAGGGGCCAGCCCTAGGGCCCTGGAGGACTCTTCAAGCCTTTGGGGACCCGAGGCCTCCAGGCCCTGAACACCCAGAATACTAGGCAGAAGGTGGTGGAAGCCAGGAGAAGTTCCATGGCCCAAAGGGAATTGAACCAGGACAATGCCATCTGTACCAACTGCAGGAGAAGAAAGAGGAACCAGACAGGATCAAGATCGAGCCCTTCTTTCCTTCCTACTTTCCTTCCTTCACTCTGTCAATAAACACTGGCACATGTTCTGTGCGTGGCTCTCAGCTAGACACCAAAAAGACTAAGTTACATTCACCATGGATTCTGCATGCCAGGAGCTCACCCTTAGTGCATCACAGAATCTAAAGGCTAGAAAGTGTCTGAATTCCCAGCCATAGCTTTCCCTTCTCCTGTCACCTCAATTTCCAATTCTGAGGCTGGGGTAGAAGCAAGTGGCCACTTCACAATGGGGAAGCACCCCCATGCGAGTCCCCAGCGTAGGGTGTATGCTGAGCATTGTGTCAAAGAGGCCCCACCAGTGCTGGCTTCCTGATGATACTGCCTCATACACAGGAAATAGAGACGTGTTTCTATCCAGCAAAACAGAGGGGCCAAGGTCCCAGGACTGATGCAAATGGCTTATAATTCCCCTCTCTCAGAGTAGTCTTTATCAAGAACAAGAAGTTTACCTCCTCCTAAGATGCCCCACCCATCTTGGAGGCTGAGGTTGGACTGAAGCCAGAGGGAACCTCCCCATCTCTTCACATCAATCACACTAAGGGTCCTTAGAGATGGCTTACTTAAAAATGGAGAAACTGAGGTCTGGAGCTAGGCAGCAAGGACTAGAACTCCGGCCTCCTATACTTCACCAAGGTTCCCCCCAATTCCTCCACTTCCACTGTTCCCAAGATATATGGTTGGCATGGGGGTCCCAGAGACTGGGAATGAGCCTAAGAATGGTACCTGTAGAGGCAGGTGCTTGAGATCCGTGGGGTTGTGGGGACTGGTACAGAGTTTCTGGCTCCAGGTGTTGGTGCCTTTTATAAACACCTATATTGACCCAGCTGTCCTGGTTACCTTATAGCAAAGTCACTGAATAAAGTTGGAAGGATCAGACGATTATCTCTTGGCTCCACCTACTACCCAGGCCCAGGGGCAGCTCTTCGGGATAGATGCTATGTCTCTGGGGAGGAATGTCCAGCTCCTTTCAGGGTTCCAGGTTGGGGGAGATTATTTCTCTTGAGGACAAGGCAGGGTGCTGGAAGTGAGAGGCCTCTGGGCTAGTCCAGCCTTCTTTCTACTGTGCCCATAGGGAAGGACCCTGTTGGGCACTGAGTCCGGGCCAGTCAGAAGGCTCACTGCTCCTCTTCAGAAGGGTGTTCTGTAGTACTCTTCCAGCAACCTGCAAAATCAGATAAGGAATAAGAATGTTCCAGCCACCTCTGAATTTCAGCCCAAGTCCTTATTCTGAAACCAAGAGATGACAAGAGAGGCATTCTAAAGAGAGGCTCCTCACCCTCCTTCCTCCCAGTAAGAGATGGTAAAACTGAATTAAGAAAATCCATGCTGTGGGCTGTTCCTCATGGCAATTGTCTTACACTCTTCAAAATGGTCAATGTCATTAAAAAAAAAGGCAAGGGCCTTTTTCTAAGCAAAGATACTAAAGAGACATAACCACATGCAATATGTGAACCTCGATTGGGTCCTGAATTAAAAAATATTTTTAAGCTACAAAAGACATTTTTGGGACAATTTAAGACACACAAACAAGAACTGGAGATGACATATTATGGAATTAATGTTCTTCAGTCTGAACATAGTATCATGATTATGTGGGAGAATATTTTAGAACTTCTTAGTAGATTGATGAATACTAATGTGTTTGAAGATAAAATACCATGATTTCTGAAACATAGTTTTAAAGAATTCTGTTTTAAAATGTATATCTACCTGTATATCTATATAGAAAGGAGAAAGAGAGTAGACGTGACAAATGCCAGCTCTCCATGAACATCTGTGAAAGTATGTGGGTGTTCATTGTATTTAGGTGAAAGGCTGTGGCTTTGTAAGGGTCCCATCGCAGTTCTCTCCTCCCTCTGAGGAAGGAAGGAGGCACCTCCCCATCTCACAAAGCCAAGCAAAGGGAATCCCAGGAGACCCAAACTTTAAGAGTGGAATGCCTGCTGGAAGGGGACTCCCCGGCCCTGAGTCCAAGTGGGTGGCATGCGGGTGAGGGACACTGTGGCCTATATGTACTTAGCATACACTTTATAGCGCTGGATACTTATGGGCCCAGCATTGTTCTAAGAGCTTAATATGTATTAACAAAACATATTCTCAGTAATCCTATGGGATAGAAATTAATATTATTATCATATTAAGTGAGGTAATGGAGGCACAAGGAAGTTACATTAACAGAGCATTAGAGTTGGAAAGTCAACCTTTAGAACAGCGGTTCTCAACCTGTGGGTCACAACCATTGGAAAACACATATAGCATATCAGATATTTACATTATGATTCATAACAGTAGCAAAATTACAGCAACAAAAATAATTTTATGGTTGGGGGTCACCACAACATGAGGAACTGTATTAAAGAGTCGTGGCATTAGAAAGGTTGAGAACCACTGCTTTAGAAGAATATGCTCTGGATGATACACTATGCTCCAGCTTGACACATATCCCTGAAATTGGGGGAAATATGTGAACATAGAGACTGCATGGAACAACATGTGAAGGTGAGGGTAGCAGAAGGCAGACTACATGGCCAGAACTGGGTAGCTTATCAGGATGTGAGTCTCCTAATGGGAGACTCATGCCAAAGGGAACTGGACTTCAGCTGCATGAATGAGATTTCACTGCAGAAGGGGTCACCAGTAGTGACAGACTATAGGGCAGGCCCTGTGGGAATGAGCTGAAGGCAAGCAAGAGGTCAGCACAGTTTGCACCACTGACGGCACCAGCCCCACTCACATCCACTGCTGGAGCCAGCCCCAATCATTTCACGCTGTCAGCGGGTGTGACCAGGGCCGGCACCATCAGCATGTGGGAGTAGAGGCAGCAGGAGTGGGGCTGCCAACAGATAGGTGACTAGGGGCCGTGGCAGGAGGGGCAGGTGCAGGTACGGAGGATGGGCCAAGACCCAGCCCATTGCCTACCGTAGCCTTGCAGCCCACAGTTCCTTTCAAGGTGCACGAATCTGTGCACTGGGCCCCTAGTATGTATATAAAACCCTAATATGCAACAACCCAACAACCAAACAACTGGACGATATGACATGCACTGACCACCAGGAGGCACACGCAGAACATGGCAGGTGTCGGCCACAGCGGGATGGTGGAGCAGGTGAATCGGGGTGCCAGACCAGGTGGGGCACTGGTTGCTGTCATCGGGGCGAGGCTTTGGTGGTTACTGAAAATTCTTTGCTCTTATGCACCACAGTCCCGCCTGGTAGTCACACCAGCTGTCAGCACCGGCCCCACTCACACCCACAGCTGGCGTTGGAGCCACTGCTCGCACCTGCTGCCAGTGACCGGCACCAATGCTGATCACTCAGTGCCATCAGCAGGTGCGAGCGGCAGCTGCCGGCCCTGGTGCGAGCATCGGCCACAGTGGAATGGTGGAGCAGGTGAGCGGGAGCACCAGACTAAGGTGGGGCGCTGGTTGCTGTCATGTCGGGGCGACTCTGGTGGTTACTGAAAATTCTTTGCTCCCACATGCCACGGTCCTGCCCAGCACTCACACCTGCTACCAGTGCCGGAGCCACCGCTCCCACCTGCTGCTGGCCCCAATTGCCCCTGAGGCTTCTCCACCTCCCCCTTCTTCTGAGGGGTGATCAGGGCAGCAGCCACAGCTTGCACCACTGACAGCGCCGGCCCCACTCACACCCACTGCTGATGCCAGCCCGAATCGCTTCATGCTGTCAGTGGGTGTGAGTGGGGCCCACGCCGTCAGTGTGTGGGAGTAGCGGCGGCAGCGGGACCAGAGCTGCTGGCAGACAGGGGACCATGGGCTGCAGCAGGAGGGGCCAGGTGGGGGCACAGAGGATGGGCTGAGACCCGCCCCTGTGCCCAATGCAGCCTTGTGGCCCACAATTCCTTTCAAGGTGCACAAATTTATGCACTGGGCCCCTAGTAATCCTATCTAATAAAAGTGTAATATGCAAATTAACCATCAATCCATGACAAAGATGGCAGTGCCCATAGCAGCCGGGGGGCGGGGGGGGAAGAGGGGGGACACACTGGCGGCGGCGCCCTGGTGACACGAACCCAGCGTCCCACACCCCTGGCCACGTGGAGGGAGGGGCTTCTGGCCAGAGGCCAGGGCACAGGATGCTGGGCTCATGATCGCCCCCAGCGATGCAAGCCCAGCGTCCTGCATCCTAATTGCATGGAGGGAGGGGTCGGGGGCACAGCATCCCACACCCTGGCTGTGTGGAGGGAGGGGCCTCTGGCCAGAGGCCTGGTGTGGGACACTGGCATCATTGCAGGCCGGGCTGAGGGACCCCCACCCTCCCATGCACGAATTTCATGCACTGGGCTTCTAGTATCCACCACCATTGTGCTGGCAGCAGTCAGCCTGGCTTGTGGCTGAGCAGAGCTCCCCCTGTGGGAGTGCAGATGCTCCTGTATTGAGCATCTGCCCCCTGGTGATCAGTGTGTGTCATAGTGACCAGTCATTCCCAGTCGTTCTGCTGTTAGGGTCAATTTGCATATTACCCTTTTATTATATAGGATGTATGGTATCAGGTGGATTCTAGACTTATTAGGTTGATCACCTGGTAAGTTATATAATGTCTAATCACTATATTGTACACCTGAAGCTAATGTAATAGTGTATGTCAATGGTAATTGAAAAATAAAAATAAAAAACTTTTAAAAATTTACTTTCTCTCCCTCATCTCTCGCTCTCTCATTTTAATGAACTAAATTCATTGTTTATTCATATTTCCTTAGTTTTTACCTAATGACCTTTTCTGTTCCAGGATCCCACCAAGAAGATAACACATTACATTAAATTATCATGTTGCTTTAGCCCCCCTTCCTCGCTCCCCACCATCCTCCCAGCCCCTAGGTTTTGATGTTTCTCAGATAATCCTTTTTTGATGACCTGGACAGTTTTCAGGAGTACTGGTTGGGTATTTTGTGGGATGTCCCACTGTTGCAATTTGTCTGCTGTTTCTCTCATGGTAAGGCTGAGGTTATGGGTTATTGGTAGGAAGACCACAGAAGTAAAGTGTCATTTTCATCACATCATGTCTAGGATACATACTGTCAACCTAACTTAGGACGATTGATATTGGCCTTGATCAGGTGGTGGAAGTAGTGTTTACCAGGCTTCTCCACAATGAGGTGACTCCTTTCTCCCCTTTCCATTCTGTGTTCTTTGGAAGGAAGTCACTATGCATAGCCCACACCTAAGGAGTGGGGAGTTCTACTCCCCTCCCTGGAGGATGGAGTCGTTTGGATTTCTATGTGAGAGACTATCTCATTATTTTTAAGATTTTCTAAAAACTTTTTATTAAATTACAAGGTATAAAAAATGCAGATATGTGCACAGTTTGATGAATTTTGACAGTTTTAACAAAGCCATGTAACCAACCTCAGATCAAGATTCAGAACATTGCCAGCACCCTCCAGGGTAACCATGACCCCAACTTCTAAGAGCTTACACTAGTTTTGTTCTTTATATAAATGAAATCATGCTTTGTGTACTTTTTTTGGCATGGATTTTAAAACATTAATAGATTTTGTTTTTACAGCAGTTTTAGGGTTATAGGAAAATTAAGTGGAAACTCCAGAGAGCTTCCATATGCCTCCATCCCCAGCATGGTTTCCCCTAATATTAACATCTTGTATTAGGGTAATGCATTTGTTACAATTGGTGAATAAATATTCACACATTATTACTAACTAAAGTCCCTAGTTTACATTAAGGTACTCTTTGTGTTCTAAGACGTTTTTTCACTTTTTTTTATCATGGTAAAATATAAAACAAAATGAACCATTTCAACCATTTTTTAAAATCCTCACCCAAAGACATGCTTATTGATTTAGA